GCTGAGGCAAGAGAATCACCTGAGCCCAGGAGTTAAAGGCTGCAGTGAACTATAGTTATGACAGCCTGGGTGAAAGAGCAAGACCTTGTCTCAAGCAAAATAAAACAGTAGAGTGATAGAAGCTACTTATATTTTAACAGGTTTATTTCAACTTCTGTGTTGATAACACTGAAGAAAACAAGAGTACAAGCAGGAAGCTATTGCAAAAAATCCAGTGAGAGGTGAGAATGTCTCAGACCAAACTGGTCACAGTAATAGGATGAAAAGGGGTAGGATTCTAGGTATATTTTGAAGGTTTGGGCAACAGAACTTGCTGATGAATGGGATGCTAGACATGAGAAAAAGAGAGCAAAGATATAGTCAAGCAAGGATAGGGAGGAACTGGAACTATAATCCACCGCCTGTGGAAATGCAAGATGGTACAACCACCTTGGAAAACCATTTGGCAGTTTCTTAAAAATCTACACAATGCACCTACCCATCCAGACATGCCACTCTTAGGTGATTTATTCAAGAAAAAGGAAATCAAATATCTGCACAAAGACTACTACAGAATTTTCATGGAAACTGTATTCATAATAGTCAAAAACTTGGGACAACCCAATGTCCGTCCCATGAAGAATGCATAAGCGAATCACGGTGTGTCTATATAATGAAATATTAATCACAACACAAAGAAGTAAACTACTATTTCACACAACATGAATGAATATCAAAATATTCACTCTAAGTAAATGAGGCATAACAGCAGCACATACTGTATAACTCCATCTATATAAAATACCAGAAAATGTAATCTAGTCATGACAAAAAGTAAATCAGTGGTCTCCTGCAGACAGACTTGAAAGGTGTAATGGGTGACAAAGAAAGAGAGAAACATTCTGTAAATTAATTGTGGCAATGGCTTTATGGGTGTATACCCAAATTCATTGAGTTGTACACTTTAAATGTTACAATTTACTGGACATATATGTCATAAAGTTGATTTTTACAATTTTTAAAAAGAATAAAGTCAGGGTTTTAGCCTGAATGATTGGAAGAATAGAGTTGTAATTTTCAGAGATGAGAAAGATTGTGAGAGAAGCATGGTGAAATATGCCTAATAGGGAGATGCTGAATGGACAGTCAGGTCTATAAACCTGGAGTTCAGGAAATAGATCAGGCTGGAGACATATATATATATATATATATATATATATATATATATATATATATGCCTAATCCAGATCATTTTTTCCTTTATGAATAAGAACAAAAAAAAAAGAGTTTGGGTAGCCCAAAAGCTTCTTGAGCTGATAAGCAACTTCAGAAAAGGCTTAGGATAAAAAATCAATGTGCAAAATTCACAAGCATTTCTATACACCAACAATAGATAAGCATAGAACCAAATCATGCATGAACTCATTCACAATTGCTACAAAGAGAATAAAATACCTAAGAATACAGCTAACAAGAGAAATGAAGGACCTATTCAAGGAGAACTACAGACTACTGCTCAAGGAAATCAGAGAGGACACAAACAAATGGAAAAATGTTCAATGTTCATGAATAGAAAGAATTAATATCAGGAAAATGGCCATACTGCCCAATGTAACTTACAGATTCAGTACTATTCCCATTTAACTACCATTGACATTCTTGACAGAATTAGAAAAAAACTACTTTAAAATTCATATGGAACCAAAAAAGAGCCTGTATAACAAAAAAATTCTAAACAAAAAGAACAAAGTTGGAGGCATCATACTACCCACACAAACTATACTACAAGGTTTCAATTGCCTAAACAGCATGGTACTGGTACAAAAACAGACACATAGACCAATGGAACAGAATAGAGATCTCAGAAATAAGACTGCACATCTACAACCATCTGATCTTTGACAAACCTGACAAATACAAACAATGAGAAAAAGGATTCCCTATTTAATAAATGGTGCTGGGAAAACTGGCTAAGCATTTGCAGAAAACTGAAACTGGACCCAGTCCTTATACCTTATACAAAAAATAGTTCAAAATGGATTAAAGACTTAAATTTAAAACCCCAAACTATAAAAACCCTAGAAGAAAATCTAGGCAATACCATTCAGGACATAGACACAGGCAAAGATTTCATGATGTAAATGTCAAAAACAATTGCAACAAAAGCTAAAATTGACAAATGGGATCTAATTAAACCAAAGAGCTTCTGCACAGCCAAAAAAAAAAAAAAACTGTCAGAGTAAACAGAAAACCTAAAGAATGGGAGAAAATTTTTACATCTAACCATCTGACAAAGGTCTATTATCCAGAATCTACAACCAACTTAGACAAATTTACAAAACAAACAAAGAAAAACCCCAATTAAAAAGTGGACAAATGACATGAACAGACACTTCTCAAAAGAAAACATTTATGCAGCCAACAAACATATGAAAAAAACCTCAACATTATTAGGGAAATGCAAAAAGCTCAACATCACTAGAGAAATGCAAGTCAAAACCACATTGAGATGCCATCTCACACCAGTCAGGATGATGATTCTCAAAAAGTCAAAAAACAACACATGCTGGCGAAGCTGTGAAGAAATAGGAATGCTTTTACATTGTTGGTGGAAATGTAAATTAGTTCAACCATTGTGTAAGGCAGTGTGGCAATTCCTCAAAGACCTAGAACCAGAAATACTATCTGATTCAGCAATCCCATTATTAGGTATCTACCCAAATGAATATAAATCATTCTATTATAAAGATACGTGCATGTGTATGTTCATGGCAGCACACAACAGCAAAAATATGGAATTAACACAAATGCCTATCAATGATAGACTGGATAAAGAAAAGGTGGTACATATACACCATGGAATACTATGCAACCATAAAAAGGAACAACATCATGTACTTTGAGGAACATGAAAAGAGCTGGAAGCCATTATCCTTAGCAAACTAATACAGGAACAGAAAACCAAACACTGCATGTTCTCACTTATAAGTGGGAGCTGAACAATGAGAACACATGGACACATGAAGGGGAACATCACACATGGGGGCCTGTTGGGGAGTCAGGGGGAGGGAGAGCATCAGGATAAACAGCTAATGCATGAGGGGCTTAATATATAGGTGATGGGTTGATAGGTGCAGCAAACCACTATGGCACATGTATACCTGTGTAACAAACCTGCACGTCCTACACATGTATCATGGAACTTAAAATGAAATGAAATATTTTTTAAAACAGCTTAGGGCCTTGCAAACAATATGAGACTAAGGAAATAGGGAAGAACATTTATAGACTCAGAAACAGAGCCAATATCTGAAAATTATCTACTGAAAGAATCAGAATTAAATTTTAGGAAACTGGGTGCTTTCAACGAGCCAGACAGCCTGGCTTCTTCAAAGAGCCACAAAAAGTGAATAGGTTGATGTAAACTCAAGACAAAATTAAAAGATTAAATTCAGTTAAATCTCAAGCTGAGATTTTAAAATCATAATAACTCACTAATAAAACAAGGCAGATGTTGTGCGCAGGAAGGGCTAGAGAAGAGAGACTGCAAGGCTAATAGCAGAGAAAAAGAGCACATGAAAAGCAGATGTCACCATGCCAAATCAAAAACATCTAGTGGAGGGAAATTTCAGAACCTTTTAAAAGAGAAGGAAAAAACAAAGATGTAAGTGATGAGCAAGATGATGATCTTGAAGGAAAGGTTGGAAAATCAACTAATTAATTTAGTGTCTTTCTTAGAATACCAAGATCATTAGAAACAAAGCAGTAACCAAAATCATGAACAAATAAAATGTTTTTGAGCTGAAAAAGCCTTAAGTGTTCAAGCAAAAAGACTCACTCCCCATGATCCACAAAAAAAGATAAATATAAAAATTATGCATAAAACATTCTGAAACTATTTTATAACTACAAAACAAAAAGACATCTTGTAAGCATTCACTTGGAAAAAACCTGGTCACTAAGAAAAAATGAAGTCAAGATGATCTTATAACTTGTATACAGCATTAAATTTCAAACACACAAAATGCTTAGAGTTTTGAGGAAAAAATGTAGAATCTAAGAATTTTCAATTCAGACAAAGGGAAACATATTTTTAAACACTTAAGATCTTACACGAGGTCTTATAATAATACCTTTCTTAGGAAAAAGTAACCTAAAGATGTCTTTAAGAAAAGAAAGAAAGAGGCCAGGCAGAGTGGCTCATGCCTGTAATCCCAACACTTTGGGAGACCAAGGCAGGCAGACCACTTGAGGCCAGAAGTTCAAGACCAGTCTGGCCAACATGGTGAAATCCCCTCTACTAAAGATACAAAAATTAGCTGGGCGTGGTGGTGCACATCTGTAATCCAAGTTACTCCAAAGGCTGAAGCCTGAGTGTTGCTTGAATTGGGAGGCGGTGGTTGCAGTGAGCCCAGATTGTGCCGCTGCACTCTAGCCTGAATGAAAGAGCAAAACCCTGTGTTAAAGAAAAAAAAAAGAAAGAAAAATTAAGATTACAAGCCTGAGAGCATTGTATTAGAAAATAAATAGTATCAAGAACTAAAATTGTCCCTGCAACAAATTCAGTCTAAGTATTATTACAAACCCAAATATAAATGATACAAAGTAAACTTAAAAAGAAAAAATATATAAAATTCTTAAAAATAATTCAAGAGCAATTACATGGGTTGTATAAGCAAAGTGTGGCATGGCAGAAGACAAATATAAAAGTGCAAATTTATCATGCTATTTTGATGAGGACAAATGATCAAATTCCTTAATAACTAAAGAAAAATGTGTTAAAGAAGCTTTCAAGTCAATCACTAGAAGAATCTGAAGAGAGTATTTAACTTCCAAATCATGAGGTGAAACAAATGAAAGATTCCTCAAAATCAGAAGAGATAAGACAACAAAAACTGCGAAGTAGAGTAAAAATGCAAACTATAAAATAACATGATATTGAAATAGCTAAGATAAACTAAATTAATAGTGGCTTTAAAACATGTGGTTTTGTTTTCTTATCTAAAAAAATCCAGAAGTAGATCATTCTGTGGTTTGTAAGCATGATGACTGGGTTTTCATGCTTACGTGGTAGAAGTGCCTTCCTCAAACTTTGTTACATCATTGGCACATTAAACATCTGATGTGTAAAAAGGGGGAGAAAAGTCAGAACCAAGCGGTCTGGGAGGACTTGAAGGTTCCACAGGGTCACTGGGGACCCCAGATATGTTGAGCTTTCTGCATTGCTATCCTAGTGTGTGTGGTTCTTCACCAATATAGATTCTCCAGCTAAAAATATGATGTCTGAAATTTACCTTGCATAAAAGAAAAAAAAGAAAGCTGCATAATCCCTACTCTCCAAGTATACTTTCTGGAAGTTAGACCTGTGGCTTCAGTCTTCATCCATTATTTGGAACTTAGTCATATGCCAAACATTCTACAAAAGAGCATGAAAAATAAATAAGGACCATTCTGGAGGGCCCTCTGGTCTTTGAGCAGCTAAAAATTGGAGCGTACCATCTACATTCAAATAATTTTAGAAGATCAAACTAGGGAGAAAAGTGTGTAAAGAGCAGTGTTCTTGGGAAAACCCAATTAACATCGTTTCACTTCACTTTTTACACCACAATCAATTTTCAACCATGAAAAAAATGACAGCAGGTAAGTGCTAGAAGAAAATGATGGATGATTATTTTCATAATCTTAGGCAAAAAAAAAAAGTCTTTCTAAGTTCTAAATTAAAACTTTGATATTTAAAAGATTAAATATGTAATCTTTCAACATCAAAAACAAAGATAACAAGAATTGAAAGTAAGTGAAGAGCTGGGAAAATAGACTTAGACCATATAGGATAATGAAGTTAGCATTACCGTAAATAATGACATAATAAAGTCATATATCATAATGGCATTGTTTCTTTAGGTTATAAAGAAATGTTATAAATCAAGTAAAAGCTGAACACCTCAATGTAAACATACACATATAATATAAATATACATTGAAAACTTATGTAAGTTAAGGACACAAAGCAATTTGATAAACCAAATACAAAAATGGCAAATACAGGCTCAAGAAAAGTTTTTATTTCACTAATAATTACTGTAGTTAAAATTAAAATAATGAGACACTATTATTCTCATACAAATTGTCAACTTTTCAGATACAACGATGCCAATGATGGCAAAAACACTTTGAAATAGAAAATATACCACTTAATATTAGAAAAGCAATTTGGCAGTAAAATCCCAAATCTCAAAATCATGTAATGATCATTGACCCAGCAAGTCCTAAGATTCCAGTCTACAGAATATGTTAGATTATACTAATATACATCTCTAAAGATGTATAAAATAGTGAAAAATTGGAAAGAGCCTGTGTCAAGCGAGAGTTTCATTAAAATAAATGTGCCCCAAAGGTGTCCCTTTTATTTCATCCAAAAGTGCCCTATGCTTTTCCTATAAAATTAATTGCATTATATGATTTTCAATCTAGTTGTACAAAAGCATGCTTATTTTGTATCTGCCTAGGAACGTAATTGTACCCTCTGGTAGATGGGAGCACCTTGAAAACAGGACCATGTTGCCTTATTCAACAGTGTATTCTCAAGAACCAGGCTTGGCTCTGTAAACAGTAAAAATTCAGAAAACGTTTGCCACTGAAAACAATAATGTAGAATTATTTTATTCATACAACAAGTGATTACACTGTACCATGTGCCAGACACGAAGCTAAACACTAAGATTTGAAAAGTTGAACAATATATTCTTGACTCTCATGAAGGTTACATTTGTCAGAGGCACGTGAACCAGAGCAACTCCATCTTAAACAGGAGCTGGGTAAAATGAGGCTGATATCTACTGGGCTGCATTTCCAGATGGTTAAGGCATTCTAAGTCACAGGATGAGATAGGAGGTCAGCAGAAAATGCAGGTCATAAAGACCATGCTGGTAAAACAGGTTGCAGTAAAGGAGCTGTCCAAAACCTACCAAAACCAAAATGGCGATGAGAGTGACCTCTGATCGTCTTCATTGCTACACACCCACCAGTGCCATGACAGTTTACAAATGCCATGGCAACATCAGGAAGGTACCCTCTATGGTCTAAAAAGGGGAGGCATGAATAATCCACCCCTTGTTTGACATATCATCAAGAAATAACCATAAAAATAGCAACCATCAGCTCTTAGAGCTGCTCTGTCTATGGAGTAGTCATTCTTTTATTCCTTTACTTTAATAAACTTGCTTTCACTTCGCAATGCAGACTTGCCCTGACTGATTTCTTGCGTGAGATCTAAGAACCTTCTCTTGGTGTCTGGATCTGGACCCCTTTCCTGTAACACGTTCATTACAGAAAACAGCAAGAAAACAAATACAGCCACACATCACATAATGACATTCCAGACAGGCCACTTATACAACAGCGGTCCCCTAAGATTATAATATCATGTTTTTACTGTACTTTTCCTATGTTTAGGTATATAAATATCATCGTGTTATAGGTGCTTAAAGTATTCAGGGCAGTAACATGTACACGTTTGTAGCCCAGGAGAATAGGCTATACCACACAGGCTAGAGGTGTAAGTAGGCTATACCATCTGAGTTTGTGTAAATACACTTGTGATGTTAGCACAATGACAAAAATGCATTTCTCAGGACGTAACCCTGTTATTAAGCAACACACGATTATCATAAATATTTATATAATGTAAAAATGGCTATGAACATAATCATCAAGAAGACAAAATAGAAAATAACTGAGGAACAATCACTTTAATTACACCATTTGGAAAAAGCTTCAACATGGGCCAGGCTCACACCTGTAACCCCAGTACTTTGGGAGGCCAAGGCAGGCAGATCACTTGAGATCAGGAGTTCCACGAGACCAGCCTGGCCAATGTGGCAAAACCCTGTCTCTACTAAAAATACAAAAGTTAGCTGGGTGTGGTGGGACACACCTGTAGTCCCAGCTACTCAGGAGGCTGAGGTAGGAATCACTTGAACCTGGGAGGCAGAATGAAGTGAGCCAAGATTGTGCCACTGTACTCCAGCCTGGGTGACAAAGCAAGACCCCAGCTCAAAAAAAAAGAAAAAAATAAAAAGTTTCAACATGACAATATTTAAGCTGACTTCCAATGGACAAGAAGTTGCACATAGCAATAGCAGGGATAAAAACATTTTAAGCAGAAGTTAGAACAGATACAAACAGCCTGAGGCAGGAAGGTTTGAGTATGTTTGAATAAGAGTGTCTCTGGTGTAGGGAGTAGCATAGCCTGAGGCTGGAGAGATATCAGGAGACAGGATCTGTAGAGCCATCCAGCCCTTGTATAGAGTTTGGATTTATTATATACATAAAATGAAAGCCACTGAAGGTTTTAATGCAAGGTTTAATTTATGTTCTTGCTCATAATGTGGAAAATGGGTTGTAGAGGAATAAGTGTGAATTGAGAGACCCATCAAAGAGGTGTTGACATAGGGCAGGTGAAGGATGAGCCGTGGCCAGGGTGTTCACCACAGAGACAGAGAAAAGTTGACAGTCAAGATAATTTTAGGAGGAACAATCAAATGGAGTTGCTGCACCTGATATATAGGGGTTATTGGAAAAGGAAAATCGGGACTGACTCGGATTTCTGAATTGACTGACTGACGGATAATGCTGTCATTTATTGGCATAGGACAGATGGAGGAGGAATTGATTCATGGAGGGGAAATGAGAAGTTCTATCTTGAACATGTTTAATTTGAGATGTTTGTAAGACATCCAGGTTGAACTGTCAAGTGAGCAGAGCTGGATATGGTGCTCAGAAAAGTTGGGTTGAATGTATAAACTTCGGAGTCTTGAGTCATAGTGAGATATTTTAAAGCTGTACATTAATGGAATCACCCAGTGAAAAATGGTAACAGAGAAGAGAAGAGGACCCAATACTGCCAATACTTAAAAGAAGGAACAGGAGCTGGCTGAGAAAGGTAGCTGAGTTTGGAAAGCAGAGAAACAATGGCCTGCCAGATGATAACCAAGAGAAGAGTATTTCAAGAAAAAAAAAGGCCAACTCCACCCAAAGCTGCTGAAAGGGTAAGATGAAGACAGAGAAGTGTACATTGCATGTGGCTATGTGGATTTCCGGTGATCCTGAGGCAAGAAATTTTAGTACAGTGATAGGGATGGAGAGCAGCCAGACTGGAATGAAAAAACATGAGTTAAAGCAGTGGAAACGATATTGTTAACAACTCCTGAGAAGTCTGGCAATGCAGAATAATACAGAAATTATTCAGAAATACAGAATAATGCAGAAATAATACAGAATAATACAGAAATCTCTCTCCTTCAGAGAGACACAGAACCAAGGAAGTGACTGTTCTGTTGGTAGTGTTGTTTTTAAGATAGGATTAGTAAATTAGAATATGGTTACAAAAATGAGCTGGTAGATGATGGGGGGAAGTTGATAAAAGAAGGGAGAGAAGATAAACAGAGTGAAGTGGTTTGTTTGTTGAGATGGAGGCTTGCTCTGTCGCCAGGCTGGAGTGCAGTGACAGTGATCTCAGTCCACTGCAAACTCCAGCTCCCAAGTCCAAGAGATTCCCCTGCCTCAGCCTCCCGAGCAACTGAGACTATAGGCGTGCACCACCAGGCCCAGCTAATTTTTTGTATTTTAGTAGCGACGGGGTTTCATCATGTTGGCCAGTGAAGTGTTTTTAAGGGTCAAAGAGCATTGGATGCAGAGAAGGGGAGGGACTGGACTTTGCTAGAAGAAAGAAAATGCCCAGGAAGAAAGAAGGTGGCAATAGCTGCAGATGAGTTTTTATTAAGAATGCTAGAGTTACCATCTGAAGGTTTTTACTTCACTGAAGTATGGAACCAGGTCAATAGCTGAGTGAGGACAAAAGAGGGAAGGGTTGGGGAAGGGTTTGAGGAGAACATATGAATAGTTCTGGGAAACACAAGAAAGTTTCTGGGTCCTGATATGAACAAATGGGTTCCTGTGGAGGCTTTAAATCATCAAATAAAGGAAACGGTTCAGTTACATCATCTGCAGTAGCAGACACAGGTGCAGAGGCGATGAGGGTTGAGGTTTGGCTAGACACGTGCAATGAGGCTCAGGGGAGGGGTGGTTGAAAGCACTTCTGCGGGAGTGATGACATGACAGGTTGAA